AAATGCAAAATGTTGCTTCAGGATTGGGTTACATCGACACCCGAACTAGTGATAGGGAGTGAAGTAGTTGAGTGTGTCGACCGCTTCACTTATCTTGGAAGTCTCATCAGCCCTTGTGGTTTGGTGTGTGACGAAATCTCAGCACGGATACAGAAGGCTCGACTAGCTTTTGCGGACTTGCGTCATTTATGGCGTAGGCGAGATATCCGTCTATCAACCAAAGGACGTGTTTACTGCTCAGCAGTTCGTTCCGTCCTACTTTATGGCAGTGAAACATGGCCGGTAAGAGTAGAGGATATCCGTAGGTTACTAGTATTTGATCATAAGTGTCTTCGAAACATTGCTCGTATATCATGGGACCATGGAGTAAGTAATGCAGTTGTTAGGAAACGGGTACTAGGTAAGGATGGAAAATCAATTGATGAAGTGATGAAACTTCATCAGTTGAGATGGCTGGGACACGTGTTACGTATGCCCAACGACCGACTGCCTCGACGTGCTATGTTCAGTGGTATAGGAGTAGGTTGGAAGAAAGCTAGGGGCGGCCAAACCAAAACATGGCACAACTCCATGAAGTCGCTGACAAGTGGACTGAGTCATGTTGGTAGGTGTAGACTACCTGGTTGGGGACCGCGAGATGATAGCAACCGATGGTTAGAGACCCTGAATGACATGGCTCAAAATTGTTTACAATGGCGCAGGTGCATCCACTCTCAGTGTTCTCCCAAATTCTAATCTTCTGAATTCTTCATGTCCCTTTTTTTCCTCTTTCCAAATTTATTTCACTGGATTATACTCTTTAAATAACATCTCCAAACCCTAATCTTCCCGATTACTGCTTATACTCTTATTACGTACGTACGAAGTTCTACGTTGTTATTGACTGACTGACTGAAACGGTGATATGAAAGTTGTATAGGATTGGGATCTGTTGCTTCTTCACTATTCTCCATTTGGATCCTAGACATCGTACAACTCAATAACGTGTAACATTATTAGACAAGGCTTAGCATAGAAGCTAATGACGATATTACATTACTTATAAAATTGAAGTTGTGTCCTATAACTAAGGTAAATCTTTATTGATGGTAAAACTCTTCCGTCTTCTTTCTCTGCACAATATTATCATTTCCTGTGTGTGGCTATATGTAAATCTTTATATGTGATCGATAAAAGTCTGTGACAAAAACTATCATTAAACTACAAGAATTCCTCTTCATATTACACTATAGTATATGTTTGGCTGAATGTTTTCAATAATGATCTACGAAAACTTCAAGTTGTATGTTATAATCGTTACATATATTAGGCAATTTCATTTTGTAGACATGAAAAGAAATATTTATATATAATTATGTGTTTATTAAGTGAGACTGAATAAAACGTTAACTTTTGAAGCTAAAGATACTGGATTTGAATCTTAATGTGAACATCAATACAAGGATCCAGATGATGCGAAGAAAGTTAGAGGTTTCCAAAGCAAAGCCTAACCTTGGTCTCTGGAGTCATTGGTTGTTGATCTGAATATTGGTAGACGCGAGCTACATTGGTAGATAAATGGGTACAGTAACAGTTGAGATGCTGATTAATAATCAGTCAATGGTGCAGATGAATTCACTGTTCATCTTTCCCTGGATCTTGAGCTGTAGTATTCCTTCATACACTTCTCACTTTCTCGAACCATATTTTCAGTGTTTAGTCTTTATCATTATCATTGTTCTTACATTATTTCAATTTGTTCAACTTTCATCTTATCGTACTAATGGGGTACAGCAACTTAGCGCCCAAATGCCCTGGTACGGCCAAGAGTGGGGAGAGTCCGCTCTCTCTCTCTCTCTGCAAATGCTCTCAAATGGCCACGCGTATATAGCCTCTGCCAAGGAAGTCATACTCACTGCATTCTCGCACCACAGGTGTTGTTTACGAAATTGAGAGTACGAAAAGAGAATGTCCGTCAGGCGCTTTAACCGAATTGGTGGACACGGAGAGTCCACTTAGGGGAGTTGGAAAACCCTGATTCCAAACCAATGGTGTACATGGGCTCCAGTATCCTGAAGGAACAAATGGCGTATGAACCAATCGTTGGTTACCGGCTACCATGGAACTGCATCTCCTTACGATGGCTCCACTGCCTTGTGGATCAGACCTTCATGTAGAAGGCTCCGTGTGTGGCTCCCTATGAAAACCACCTGCTTCGGTTTAGGCACCCAGGCAGTATCACAGCCCTCACACATATCAAATGAGATTTGTGTGGCGCATATGTGTTTGGTGCCTCCTTGTACCAATATCTATATGTTAAAATAAATAAAATATAATGAGTAACTGATCTCCAACATAGCAACTGAACATTTCACAGAAATCTGGCCTGAGTGTTACACAATGTAACCATCTCAATCGGTTCAGATTTAGAAATCCATCAATCGCAACTCATTCACATTACTTGGAATCAAGTATACAATCTTAATATTATCAACTCAGTGAGTAATACTATCAAAACGCAATTGATTTATTATCCTGAACATCAATGGGAAGATTTAAACAACCAATACAAAACTGAATCAAACTTCACTGCTCTTAATTGCTAAATAGGGAACACGATATTGTTTGAAGCTAGCGATACTGAGTTTGAGTCCCGGAGTGTATATCAACTTTCGGATACAAGTATATCCAGGTGAATAGTCACAAATAGAACGAAGTGATGTGTGTTCTGAATTCCACTGCTAGCCATTATCCATCTCTACTTATATATGTATAAAGGGCTAACTCTTACAATGTTTACTTATCCTTTGATTTTACCGATGTCTTAAGTGATGTAAGAAAAAAATAAGAAATTCCAAATGACTCCTCTGTTTTTTCTATTTTAAAAAAATTTGCCCAAACTAGATTCTTTAAACAGTTTCTTTAATGTGTATATGTACGTGTGTGTGTGTGTGTCTGTTTCCTTTTCAGTTATAATAATAACAGTTTAGTGTCTCGATGAAGCGGAATACAGTTGCTTATAGCAACGGTAAAAATTAAAGTGTACTTCCTACTACTTTGCTTCTTTCATTATTCATTATCTTTATACTAAATCGAGATAAGGTGGAGATAAGGAAAGAAATTTTTTTCTATAAAAAAAATAGACTAATCAGTCAATGTTAACATTAGTTAAGTGAAATAATTTATTAATTATTGTTGCCTAGGTAGTATTTAATATCTAATCCACCTAATATCTATCACATTCTCTTATACCCCCCTTTCATATTTCTATATTTAAAAAATTTATTCCCCAATTAATGAGTATGTTTTTTTTTTAAAAAAATATTCAATTCTTTTTACCTTAGTTACAAAAGCAGTTTTTTTTAGAAAATTATTGATTTGTTAACTGATCACTATGTAATATGGAATAATAATAATATGTTTTTGTGAGTTAAGGATGTGATTTGTATACTTTTAATGAGTTAGATGGTTAGTTCAATTGTGAAACTATCATAGTAACACACAGGACAACATGATTAACATCTATTTTGTATAGAAGTTAGTTATTCCTTAAATGTTACATGAATTTGTTCCGATGTCCTTGTTTGTAACGGATGGTTTTCATAGATCTTATTTTCTATTTTGCTTTATATTTCTATTTTATTGACCATTGACCATGTGATTGATCTTTTTCTTATAGGTTTATAGATCTACATCGATGTGTCTATTGACTAGGGATTGATTTGAATGATGTTCTTAGAATGTTCTCGATCCTATGATCCTACTTTTTCCCAATTGAATTCATGTCTTCAGTTTTCTACCTGCGTTGATATCAGTGGTAAAATATTGTGTCATTTGACTTCAAATGAAGCGGGCGTCCATCTTATCCAATGTAACATTTCTTGTAGTTAGTATAATTTATTTGTAGATGATATTGGATTTGTCCACTTTTGCTGTTGGCTTTTAATCTTTATAATATGGAATAAAGTTATCCCGTTAGTTTGTAAGCGACATTGATCCAAAAAACAAGTTTCAGAATCCTTCTAATAGTTTCTAAGATATTTTACACATATGGTGGAATGATCTGTATTTTTGGTTCCCGATGTTGATTTTTTTTAATGGTATATAGATTAACCAGACACCTTTTGATGAATTTTCTGTGGTAGCCATTTTTATAGGCAACAGATAGATAGGTTTCAAAATGGTTCTGACTTTTCTGTGCTGTTCGATTGTCACTGTTGTAGTCAAGTATTTGGTCCATATGACTTGGCTTTATGTATACTTGTGTTTCTAAAGTTACCTGTATTCGTTCTGTTGATTAAGACATATGAAAAAGATGTCTTATTTTTTTGAATTTTCATTTCTTATAAATTCGATGTCGTCAAAGATGTTGTTAGGCAAGTTATGATTATTTTCGAATTCGTCTCTCTTCAGAATAATGAATGCATCATCTACATAACATATCCAATTTTTCGGTATGGTGATTCATGAAGATTATAGCATTTTCAGAGTTGAATTCACGAGTCGATCTAAGCTTATTTGTCTAGAGTTTAAGCGTCCTTGCTCGGGATCTTAGGTGAGCACTACTGATGAGTCCTGTACACTAGGATGAAATGGCCACTGAATGTTTCCATGTTTTCAATGGTGGTCTAGCTTAGATTGAATCGTGAATTCAAATTTGATACTACTCAAAATCGTTTGCAATGGCGCAGGTGCATCCACTCTTTGTGTTCTCCCAAATTCTAATCTTCTGAATTCTCCATGTCCCTTTTTTCATCTTTCCAAATTTACTTCACTGGATTATACTCTTTAAATAACATCTCCAAACCCTAATCTTCCCGATTACTGCTTATACTCTTGCTACCTCTACCACTACGGGATTTGAATCGACAACTGCATCTCTGTGCTAATGTGGTGTGGCAACTCGAACTGATGTACGTACGTACGAAGTTCTACGTTGTTACTGACTGACTGAATTTGATACTAAATACTGCTTATTCACTGATATTTTTTTACTGTTTTTTTATTCATTTCTCTTTCAGTGTATAAAATATGAAACAATTTTATCAAATATGCAAGCTCAATTAACATGTGTCATTGAAGAACGAGATATGTTAGCTAATCAATTAAATGAATTGACTGAAACCAATAAATCATTACTTCCTAATTCAACAATACAAACATCGACAATAGTCACTGAAAGTGTTTCATCATCTTTACCAGTCGCGACACCAACAATATCAGAAATAGTAGGATTAAAATCATGTTCTGTATCACATCCAATTATGGGTTTAAATCGATCTGTTCAAATGAAATCCAATAATAATAATAATAATAATAATAATAATAATAATAATAATAATAATAACAATAATAATAATAATAATAATAATAATAATAATAATAATAATAGTAATTTATCATATCCTCCAACATCCTCTCTTCCGACTCCTTCTTCAACAACAGGATTTTCAGTATCTAAACAACAAACAAATGTAGATAACAATATTATTAACCAATTACATAAGGTAAGTGAAATATATGCGTGTGTGTGTGTGTGTGTGTGTGCTTATTTTCCATTTTCGTCAAGCATATATGTATGGTGTACAATGTTTAACAGTTACCATGTACATAATTGATTTCATAACATCTAATAACATAATTAGTCTATGACCTGTCAGTTGTATTTACTGACAATGACATCGTCATAATCCATAATTGAATAATACTGTAAGATGGTAGCTATTAATTACATACTACCTGAATTGAGTCATTGGGCGGGGAGATATGAGTTAAAATCAGTCGAAATAATGGAGATACATGTATTCTTTATCTTTCCCCTAGATATTAAGTTGTAAGATTATCTTATATATTCTATTAATCAATTTCATTCTTTTCTCTTGAATCATATTGTCTATTCTTAATATTTTCTACTATCACTGATACTGTTATAACTTTTATTAACCCATTATTTATCATAATAGTTTAATTGCATTATCCTGATATGATGTAATAGATTGAGTCAATACACATATGTACCATATTCTAAGTAAAGATGGATAGTGGCTAGCAGTAGAATACAGGACGCACGTTTCGTTCTATTTGGGACTCGTCAGATGGATTTGAGTGCATCTCAGACTTGTTAATGTTCACCCTGGGACTCGAACCCAGTACTGTTCGCTTAGATGCAGGCACATCCAGCTGACTACTCCCAAATAGGACGAAACGCCCGCCAAACTGGATTCCACTGCTAGTCTCTATCAATCTTTGTTTATAATACTTGTGAATTAAGGCAATATCGAGGCAATACGCATAGTATGCACATATGTCAATAAGAGACTGATCAATTGCAATCCTAAATATCAATGAGAAGATTCAAGTAAACAATACCAAGTGAATTCGTACCATATTCTGTTGCTGAAAACTAACTGACTTGCTTTTAATCTTGTCTGAATTATATCAGTAAGTGAAAACTTTTCAGTTGATTGTTATCTACTAGATAAACATATCTGTATAGTTGAAGATATGAACATTTTGCACTATTTGCGGAAAGTACAATATCGAATAGTGTGAACACTCCTACTTAATTATGTATGAATATTGGTTAGGAGTTAAATAACACAGTATATACAATTGGTTGATCTCTGGGTACTTCTTAGTGCAGATCGAATCCCATCAATCAAGTTGCAATGTAGCCACTAGTCTAGGTGACTCGACATTGAGTGCACTATGTTGAGATAAGATGGTGGTTGTAGGTAGTTAACAGGAAACCTTGGACCTAGGCTTCGTGCTACTTGGTATTGTTCAGCAAGGTGTAACTGCAATCTTGACGGAACTGATGCTAAATAGCACGAAACCTGGGTTCAGTGTTTCCTGATGACTAACTAAAACCACCGTCTTCTAATACAGTATATCGTTGACTCATATCAGTGAATGACTATATCTAAGAATATATAGTCAACAATTAATAATGTCGAAATTCTAACTCTAAGAATCTGTTAATAGTAGGCTATGAAATGATTACTAAAATTATGTCATACAGATCAATTAGTCGACATGTAGACATGGTTCCAATTTATTATGATTAACTAATAACATAAACACGAATTTACAAATCAAATAAAAATGAGAAAAATCTTATGGTATAGTCCATTGTAAATAAGGTTACTGTAGGTTGAATAGATTTTTGTCATTGGTAACATATGTTTTCTAAAAGTCTCAGGTCGAATCACCATATTCGATCATATTTAACAGTTGCTTGCAATTTAGAGAAACGGAAAATACTACTCACATTACAGAAAAATAATTATGAGTTTGGATAAATTTATTAAACTCATTCATTATATAGATTGTTTCAAGTTATATAGAATATTAATAGTTGAGATCATGAGTCAATTGAAGCTAGACCAGCATGGAAAACCTGGAAGCGCTGAACGACCGTTTCGTCATATTATGGGGACTCCACAGCAGTGCTCACCCACGATTTCGCCTCTCGAGATTCGAACCTAGAACCTATCGCTTAACCTCTAGACCGCTGGACTTGACGGCATCGAACGATGTTATTGTCTAATTTTAAATAATCTACGAAATTGAGCGAAACATCTACCATTGTCTTCAGTGAGTTACTATCTCACAACAGACTCTGTTGCACTCTGCTAGTCACGGTGCAATTTCGTGGATTGGTTAAAATTACACATTAACGCCGTTAGATACCTTCAAGTTCAATGGTCTAAAGATTAAGCGTTCACGCGCGCGACTAGTAGGTCCTGAGTTCGAATCTCACGAGACAGGATCGTGAATGTGCACTTCTAAGAAGTCCCACAATAGAACAAAACGTCCGTCTAGTACTTCCAAGTTTTTCATGATGATCTAAATTCAATTAACTCATGATCTTAACTATTAGAAATTACTATAATATCCCCAAAAACCCCTCTCTGTCTGATTTTTCTTATGTATGTTTTTTTCCGACTTTCCCTTTATTTCATGAATAGTTCTTTTCTTTTTTTTTCTTAATTCATCTACATAAACATATGGTTATCTGATTTTATATTTATCTCAGATACTATAATTATCATGATTATCTATATATAATAAATTAATTTATTTATTAACCAAAAGGCATCATTCTATGAAAATGCTACTTAAATATCTATATTCAGTAGAAGGAGGAAGGGCAAGTGTTCTTTTGTATGTTTATATTAGGTGTATGTTTAGTTATTTCACTTATCTATGTAATCATATATAGATAGTGCACTATCTAAATAAGTACTATATATTGCATACAATAAATTGTTCATATTAATGTGTACTTCAATTACTATTATTATTATTATTGTTTACTAATTGTACTATAATGGAAATATTCAATTGTTTATTTATTTATTTATGTTAAGTTATTTGTCCATTTTTTTCTATCCTGGATACATTTTTGGGGGAGGGGGGAAATTGTAGACGACGGTGGAGTAACACCGTACCATGTATGTATGTATGTATGTATGTTTGGTGAAGATCTTATCTTAGAACAAAAGAAATGTAAAGTCAATCCATTTTCTTTCACTAATTGCTTTCTTACCTTATATTGTTATCATCTAATATAAAAAATAGTTTATGAAGTGAACATTATCGTTTGTGATGTATTGTTTGAGTTCAATAGACTAGATAATAGCACGCAATTACATGTCTATTCCTTGATTTATATATATATATATACAAACAGCTGATTGGTTGAGAGGTAGACACAAAATGCACACACACAAGGTCACATTATAGACAGACAGACATATACATAACTCTTTTCATCCCCCCCATTTTTTATTGCTTTTCCAGATTTTCCCAAGTTTTTCATTTTTTTTATTTTTTTAACCACATTTTACTTGATTATAAAAAATTTTTTTAAACTGATAAATGTTTACATTATGTTATTCATGGATAAGTAAATTAAGTTTACCGCCCACCCCGCCCCGCCCTCCACCACGTTTTTATTCTTTTGATTAATTCAAAGATGATAAATTCATTATTTATTTATTTACTGATAATAAGATAAATTGTACAATTTGGATTCAATGTGTAATTAGGTGTAGTAGTTTGATATGTGCTACTTATATCGACATGAGTAGTAGTATATAACGATAATCAGGATTAGAATGTCTGATAGAAGAGTATCGAGTAGGAAAGAATGAGAATAGAAAGTAATTGATATAAAAATGCAAGAACAATGAAAGGGGGGTTGGTATAGCTCAGTGGTAAAGTATTCGATTGTCCCCACTTGTTTTTTTCTTTCACTATAGTAGTAGTAGTCTGTCTGTTTGTATATATGTTAATGGATTTTTATAATCTATTCTAAAAGCCTAGGCAATGTACTTATCAGAAGCCAAATTAATCAATATTATACAGGGTTTTAACACCAAAAAGAAATATATGAAACTCAGTAGGACATTGGGCAATGTGTTACTAAGCAAATTGTCCACCTAGCTTTAGTTTATAATATCTCTGTTCTTTGTTTGACTAAAGAAAATTCAATAGACATGTTTATCTGCTCTTTCTATCCATTGTTTATCTCACTTCACTCCTTTCATATTTAAACTGATTATTTACACACATCAATTCTACCTAATTGAGGAATTTTCAATATTGATTATTTTAGTAATTTCTATCTTCTCAACTTCTTAACGTTAGTTGCTATGTAGAAATATGTATTCATTTTATTATACCGTTTATTATTCTTATAATCATAACTACACCCGCCTTATTATTAGTTTGTATATTTTCCTTGTTATGATTAGTTACGTAATCCTTTGTCATTGTTATCATTAGTTCATGAATCGTTTTGTTTAGTTTATGTTATGTTATTTATTTATTTAAACACATAAACATTGGTACAAGGAGGCACCAAACAGAAATGCATCACATAAATCATTCGATTTATGTGAGGGCTGGGATACTGCCCGGGTGCCCAAACCGAAACAGTTGGTTTTCTTACTCGGAGCCTTTGACTTAAGGGTCTAATCCACAAGACAGTGTAGCAACGTCAGGAGATGTAGTCCCATGGTACTCGGTGACCAACAGTTGTTTCAGACGCCATTTGTTTCCTCAGGATCCCGGAGCCCATGTGCACCATTGGTTTGGAATCAGGGATATCCAACCCACATAGGTGTATCCTCCATATCCACCAATTTGGTTAAACCGCTGGACATTTTCTTTTCGTCCTTTCAGTTTCATAAACAACAGTGATACCAGAAGAAGGTCGTGAGAAGGAATTCCCTGTCAGTGGTTGTATGCACGTGGCCATGTGAGAGTATTTTGCAGAGGGAGAGCTGACTCTCCTCATTCTCAACCGTACCAGGGCATTTGAGTAAATGCTGATGAAGATTTAACGGAAAACAGTATTTTTTGTTTGTTGTATATCTTGTTCTTACTGTTGATTCATTGAGTTTGATATTGGCTGATGCTCATAGAAAATATTAAACCCTAGTTATAATCAAATGATTTACAGTTTTATGTTGAGGTAAATTAGAATTGTCCTCAAAAA